CCCCCACACACACACACTTTCTACCTCTAAAGGGTTTCCCAAGCATCAAAATTAATGTCAATAATCTTGAACTGATCTAGGAATTAAAGTTTAATAGTTCACTTTAGAAATTTACAAGGAATACATAATATATATGGTAATCATGAGAAAATATTTAAGATTAGAGAAATCAAAAACGATTTGGCTTTGCTCCTGACTAGGGTAACATAAATGCTATAGCCTATCCGAGCAGTATTAATGGACAGGTGTATAGAAATACTGAAGGACATGTCTAGATGTCTTTTGCTTCACTTGGGGGTTGTTTTTTTTTGGATTTTGATAAAGTAGCAAATGACAAACTAACCAAAATTTTGGAAGAACTAAAATAACTTAAAAGTTTGTACTTGGATAAGAATGCGGGTGTACAAATAGAGGAAAAGTCCATACAATTTTTAAAAAAGTAAAAGAGGAGTTAGCCAAAGTGGTGTTACGTCACGAGTTCCCTTTCCTGTACACAAAGAAACAATTCTTAGAAATATAGATTCTAGAGGAAAGTGTCATGGGCCTAGTAAATGGGAACAATATTTATCATGATCAGATAGGCGTATATCCCCCTGGGGGGGGGGGGGTTCCCACACTGCTTGGACGGAGGTTTTTGCGGTCGAGAGGTTAAGTTGTTCGCCTCTCATTCAATAAGTCCCGGGTTCGAATCCGGACAGCGACGGAACATTAACTTCTTCTATAAAATGTTCAACTTTCACCTCCTTTCCTGCTCCCTAACAATGTTCTCTTGTCTGCTTTGGTGTCCACTTTTTGTCCCCACCCCCACCCCCACCTCCTTTGCCACCTCCTTTGCCCCCTCCTCTGGGCTCCTGACTCTTTCTGCAGCCTTTACACTGCTACTCTTTGGCGCCTTCTTACCGTTGTCTTTCAACCACACCCCTGATCTTATGGTAAGTAAGACCTTACACCTAGCCTTCAATCTCGGATACAGGCGAAAAATCTCGGCGGTCCCGTGTGAAAGTTGTGCACGTTAAAGATCCCTTGGTTGTCCAAAATCGATAAGAGTAAGCTTCGGCCCCCACCCGGGCAAAATTCAAAATTTCTTACAAACTGAAAATGTTTAATGTGTCCCGCACGCTCATGTGACCTGATGCAGTTGCAAGCGCCATAAAACGCTTATCATATATTATATAATATACATATATAT